CCCTAACTGTGACTCTCATATCTCCCCATTGAGGTGGGAGGGAGTGTATGAAGTTATTTATGGCCTCAATATGCGTGATTTCCATACCAGCATCAATCGCCGTCATACATCTCTCATAGATGTCATACACATGTTCGCTAAGCGGTCGGGTCGGATTAGTTACATAGTTTTCATAGGAATGGATAGCAATTCTACAGTTCAATGCTTCTCTATATGCCCTAGCCGTTCTACAAGCCATGTCTGTTGCATTTTCACATACATCATACTTTTTCTTTGCTTAAAGAAAACATGCAAATATTTAAACTTTCATATCATGCAATTCTCTTTAAACCCTTAACTTTTGCCGAAGTCCATTGCATATTTTTAAATAACACATCTCTAAATCATATCAAAGTATCATAACATAAACATAATCATTAATATTAAACATGAACATACCTGGGCCATAGGATGAGGTTGATGGATGGATGCATGATACCATGGAATACCTTAAACTTTTCATTTTCCTTTTTTTTTTGAAAAAAAAAAAACATACTTGGTCTACAGAACCTGCTAAACCTTGCTCTAATACCACGCTGTAACGCCCCGACTCCTAGTGAATCGGAACGCTACTTACTTTACTTAACTTAACCGGTGGTTTAGTAACAAGTGTATACGTTTTAGCGGAAGCTTACATCTTCGGATAATAATTTAAATAACAACACTTCGAATACTTTTAATAAAAACACTGAATCAATTTTCAAAACAACAAAATGTAATTTATTTGAAGAAAACATAACTTGTTCTCGCATTCTGCATTATTCAAAACTTTAAAGTAATAACATTGGAAAACATTTCATAAAAAGAAATCCAAATCACTTATTCACCGGATTTTCATGGGCTCGTTGCATCACTGTCCATCTTCTCCTCCATCCATGCCCGAGGTAGAGTTCCTTCAATCTGTAGAGATGGGATTAAACCCGTGAGTTGAAAAACTCAATAGGTGTCATAGGTGCATTCGTGATCAAACTATACATTTCAAAACATTAACTTAATAACTTTTCATACATGCCGTACTCGGAGGCACCATTTGACATGAAGGGGTATGCCGTACCTGAGGGCACCATTTGACATACGAACATTTCTTCAATATAGAGGGGTATGCCGTATCGGAGTACCATTTGACATACAATCATTAACATAGAGGGATATGCAGTACCGGAGTATCATTTAACATACAAACATTAACATGAATCGAAACTTATAACTTAACACGATTAAACACATTGCACCTCTACCTACCTTGATCGATGCTTTTAAAACTTTGAAAACTTGGATTGAAAATTTCGATGAAACTTGGACGTTGAAAGAAATGCACTCCTTGGATGTTGGAAAACTATTGAGAATTGATGCTTGAAAACCCTTTTTAAACTTATAGGAAAAATAGTTTTCCTCCCTCTCTTTTTCTCTCTTGAAAACTCTTTCTTTAGTATGTAAAAGCTCTTGCTTTTGGTGTGAGAAAAATGAGTGAAATAAGGTCTCTATTTATAGGTAAATATCCCATAATTTAAAGCAAATGAAGGGTTAAATTTCATTTAAGAGAGAAAACATGGGTGCCATTTAAGTTTGAAGTTAAATGCTTCAATTTAGTGGGGCTTTTATTGTCAGAAACGTGGGTGGCCCTTTGAGAAAATAATTGATGAAAATAAATATTTAAATTCTAGAGAAAAACGAGAATTTTCATTTCAGGCAGCTTCGGTCGACCGGTTGTAGTCCAGTTGACACTGCACAACTTTCAGTGTTTCTATCATAACTTCTTCTCCCGATATCCGATTGAGGTAATTCAAAGTGCGTTGGAAAGCTAACTCAAAGAGTTACAACTTTTATTTAGATATCATTTTTCAAATCGAATGTTTCCTATGTCGAAAATGGGTCTCAAATGAGACTAAAAATCTGAAGTATACTTTAGTCATCCAATATTCATATCTTAGTGCCACTAAGATGTCTAGAATTATTTGGGGTTCTACACTTTTCTCACGTCTATCACATCTCATACAGAACCACACACTTATAATGAGGCACTAGAATCGTCAGATTAGTGCAAGGCAATGCAGAATGAAATTGGTGCACTTGAACAAAACCATACATGGGTTATCACAGATTTGCCACAAGGAAAATCAGCCATAGGCTGCAAGTGGGTTTTCAAGATTACGTACAATTCAGATGGCTCTATAGAAAGATATAAGGCATGTCTAGTTGCCAAGGGGTACACTCAATAAAAAAGTCTAGACTATCACGAGACTTTTTTTCCAGTTACAAAAATGGTCACAATTAGAACCTTATTATTGGTTGCAGCCATTAAAGGTTAGTTTCTACACCAATTTGATGTGAATAATGCCTTCCTACATGGGGACCTTAAAGAGGAGGTCTATATGGATTTAACCCCAGGCTACTCAAAGGCTTCTCAGCCTAAGGTCTGCAAGTTGCTCAAAAGTATATATGGTTTAAAACAAGCCTCGCGGCAATGGTATTCAAAGCTATCAAATTTCATCATAGGATTTGGTTTTGTTAAATCAAAAGCGGATTGCTGCTTGCTTACTAAAATCTAAGGGGAATCATCCACTGCTATCTTGGTATACGTAGATGACATCATTGTGGCCAGCAATGACATACAATCTATCAACTCTCTAAGGTTGTTATTGGATAAAGAATTCAGAATTAAAGACATGGGAGTATTGAAGTATTTCCTTGGCATTGGGATAAGAAGATCAAAAGTGGAATTATGGTATGTCAAAGGAAATATGCCTTAGATATATTGGCAGACTCGGGCAAAATTAGCACCAAACCAGCAAAAATTCCCCTAGACCAGAATGTCAAACTTTCAAATGAACAAGCTGAACTGCTTGATAATCCTTCCATATACAGAAGACTTGTTGGGAGACTTCTTTATCTCACTATGACAAGGCCTGACATATCCTATGCTGTCTAGCTTCTGAGCCAGTATATGGATAAACCAAGACTTCCACATCTCTATGTAGCAAACAAGGTCCTTCGATACATTAAGAAAAGTCGAGGGCAAGGGCTATTGTATCCATCTTCATCAGCATTACAGCTTGAAGCTTTCAGTGATTCCGATTGAGGAGCATGTTCGAACACACGAAGGTCTATCACAGGGTATAGCATCTTCTTAGGATCTTCATTAATTTCCTGGAAATCAAAGAAGCAAGATACAATTTCCAGGTCCTCTGCGGAGGCAGAATATAGGGCCATGGCAAGCACCTATTGTGAATTAACGTGGTTGCGATTTCTACTCAAAGATTTTATGGTCAATCACCCACAAGTAGCCACCCTATACCGTGACAACAAATCAACAATCCATATCGCTGCAAATCCGATCTTCCACAAGAGAACTAAACACATAGAGTTTGATTGTCACTTAATTTGAGATAAAGTTCAAGACGGTAGTGTAGGCACTGAACATGTGAAGACAAGTGCACAAGTTGCTGACATATTAACTAAGGCATTAAGCTCTCCAAGTTTTCATTCTCATTTGGCTAAGATGGGAGTAAAAGATATTAACTCTCCATCTTCCGAGGGGATGTTGAAAAATGAATTGCCGCATGGATGAGCTGACATGGACAAGCCACGTAAACAGCTTGAGGAAGCATTCTAGAAGAAGAAAGATATAGCCACTTGCGTGAGGAATATTCTAACAGAAGAATAGTGTAGAAGATGAGGGATTCTTTCTCTTTCCAATTCTGTTATGATTGTATAATAGTCACATTTCTATATATAGCTGTAAATATTGATTCATTATATACAAGATACAAGAAGAAGGAATTCAACCTCATTTCATCAATTTCTATAAAAATTTGATTTTAATTCTTATCAAATAGGGACTTTGATTTTAATTCTTATCAAATAGGGACTTTGATTTTAATTCTTATCAAATAGGGACTTTGATTTTAATTCTTATCAAATAGGGACTTTGATTTTAATTCTTATCAAATAGGGACTTTGATTTTAATTCTTATCAAATAGGGACTTAGTAGTAATGTTTATACCCTTAAAAACTTGTCTAGTTATTAAACATGCGAGAAGCTTGCACCCCATGTTCTTTCAACATTTTTGCAACAGAAGGAATATAGCTAACATAGTCGAGGCAGGTCAGGGAACAAAATCTTCTAGACCTGAAATTCATCCGGAAATCTCTCACCTTCAATATCCCTAAAATCCCAACTTCTAAAAGTTTTGTTATTGTCTCCCTAATGTCATGTTAAACCACATCATCTAAAAGTTCAAGCTATTAGACAATAAACACATTCATGTAGTCGAATTTAGCCTTCAAATATCCAACATTCATCAAATGACTCCATCCCATCTTTTCAAAATCCTCCTTGTAGGGGCAGTAAGAAAACCAAGCCAATGGTTTGATCAAGTTTTCTTATTGTGGGCAAGTTGATCATCTTTTTACCAAGTCATGGCCAGCTTGATTGTGCCATTTTGAATGCTCATCAACTTGTTCCACCATAATAAATTATTGGCAAAATCAAACTTACTGAATTTTGGTGCAGGAACTGGCCTCTCAAGTATGTTAACTTGTAGGATCACCATTTTAGAATTCAGTAGTTTTAAAACCTCACTAATTTCTGCAGATTTAGCATGAGAATCATCCTATGAAAAAAGCTGACTGACTCAATTTCTCAGCTGAATCCAACTACAACCACCACTTCAAAAGGCATATTTGTAACAAACTTTTCTGGCTCAGAAATGCATCCTCCTCGAGACAAGTCCACCACGCTTGTGTAATGCCTCTTGCTTGGCTTTAAGCTGTAAACCTTCTCCATTGAATTGAAGCAGAAGATCCCTTTATCAACTGAACCACAACGAGAGCGAGCAAATATAACTGACAAAAGAATGAGGTCATTAGATGTAACGGTTGAAGTCCGTTCCATTTCTTCAAACAGTGCAAGTGATTCCTGTGTAAATCCGTTTTTTGCAAGCCCTGGAATCATAGACGTCTAAGCCATCTCATTCTTTATCGGCATGTTATTGAAGATATTACTAGAACATTCGATATTTCCACAATTTGCATACATATCTACAAGTGCCATGCCCATGAAGACTTCATTCTGAAAGCTGAAATTAACAACTTTTCAAGCATATACTTCCCTTTCTCTAATGAGACTAAGGTTGCACAAGCTTTTCGAACAATTGGAAAGGCAGATTTATTAGGCTGTTCTCCTGACAAAATCATCTCGTTGAACATTCAAATGCCTCAAAAAAATTTCAGTTTCTACGTAGGTTATCAAAGAGTTCCGGAAGACCTTTTTATTAAGTATCTGGTTAAACAATTCTTTAGCTTCAGCAAGTTGGCCATTCAAACTATAAGCTACCATTGAGTTCCAACAAACAACATTCTTCTTTAAAATCGAGGCAAACACGAACGTCCGTCTGTAGCATTTCCACATTTCAAGTAAAAAATTAGCAAGTGAACCGCTGACAAATATATCTCTCTCCATCCCATTCTTCAGAAGATTCCCATGGATGTTCTTTCCTGCTTGCAAAGCATTCATGCTGGTCAATGCACTAATTATGCTAGAATAATATGAAGTGTTGAGTTTAACCCCACATTGAACCATCTCACGAAACAGACTCATTGCCTCTTCTGAATAGCCAACCCTATTGAACCTTGAAATCATCGAACTCCAAGAAACATCATTTCTTTCTGGCATCTTATCAAAGATCAGACGAGCTTCTCTTAAGTCTCCAATCTCCACATACATGTCAAGAATCTCGGTCCAAGAAATCACATATCATTCCTCCTCCGTCCGATAAAAAATTCTCTGAGCTAAGTCAATATTTCCTAACTTCAAATTAAAAGAAACCTAACAATCAACCCCAACACACTTCTTCCCAATGCAAAGTCACCTAACTCACCACAGGCTCTAACAACAGAATTAACATCATTAGGCGCAACCACAGATGCCAGCATATTCTCAAACACTCCCATTGCTTCAGAACAAGCCCACTAATGGTAGCTGTCCACGAAAACACATTCTGAATCTGGTTTCTCTCGCAATACCACATGCCTCATCCACTCTTCCATGTCTTATCAAGCCCGAAATCAATGCAGTTCGACAAACCTCATTTCTTTTAGGCATTTCATCAAACGGACGACGTGCTTCACTAACACTTCCCTAGTCAACCTAATCAAACGGTTATGAGCAGTTAAATTAAACCCAGTAAACTAATTCACCATCTGCTCAATTTCATGAGATTTTCTTGAATTTAAGTACATAATGAGCAACTTTACGGCTTTGTATTTCTGTGATGAAAGGCTCATTTTGAGTTTTTTCGAGGAATCTACCTGAATTTTTTTTATTTTTTTTAAATTAATCTTTGAAAACAATTTCTGTTTCAAAATTACTTTTAGAGGAACCATAACCAAAAAAAAACTTTTGGGTCTCAAAAAACTCCTTTTTTTTTTTAAAAAAAAAAAAAATCATGTCAAAGTAGCCTAATTAACGTTTGATTCGGGAAATAGTTCTGGTAGTTGACGAGAGTTTTAGGAGAAATTGATGGATTTTTCGAAAATACACTTCCAAACACTATCAACAATCTTCAAATATAAAATTTTATAATTAATTTTACCCTTTAAAAAAAATGAAAAATAAAAAATTATTAAGAAATCAAATTTCTGTGAAAATTTTAACATAGTATTTTTTATTTTTCAATGAAATTAGTTCTAAGAAATTTCTCACCGAAGCAATCGGTATCTTTAGATCAATCCCGCTACACGTACACGCAAATTTACTTGCAGGGTTACACGGTGACGTGGCAAAGAAATAAATTGATGGGTCAAGTGTCTTGAACCGATCCAAATTAAAGAAACTCTCGCATTATATCACTTTCAGTTTTCCCAAATGCAAAAAATCCTCTCTAACGAATCAATCGATGCGAGGAGATCAGAGATTGCACTCCACCATATTGAGAAGACGGTGCTTAATCTAGTGATCATCTCTATGTTTTTGTTTTCCACACGAAGTTAATCGCACAATTGTGAGGAAAATTTTTTTAGCCGCAAGATTGAAACTCACCGTACGCAGCAGAATCCCCCGTCGCTGAGGCCTTGTCCAGCGGAATCTTAAGCAAATATTATGTAAGTATGATATTTGATCATTGCTTTTTACTGTGGGGAAGTAATTTTAGTTTTAGGAAATGGAAAAATCTCACTCTCATCCCTACTGCTTTGAAGAACCAGCCGTACTGCGTTGCAAAGTTTCGAACTCCATTTTAAATATATGCAAGTTTCGAATATATGATAATCTAGGCTAGTGTTGAACATATGATAATTTGGGCATCGTTGGCTGCGGAATATTATGTGTGGTTGGGGGTAGGAAATGGGACATTTGAACTTAGTGTAATAGAAATATCTTTGTAGCTACTCTTGATTTGAACTTGCATTTGTTTGTTGTCATTGTTAAATCTTATGTTACTACTAAAGGCTGTGAAGATATAAGATTTTGAATTAGACAGTTTGCTGTTAAATTGTGTTTAATTTTGAATTAATAGAGGTTCTGAATCATAATGATGTTAAACCACCGTTTAATTAATAATGAGAATATCTTTGTTTGCTGTTTGAATTAAATTGTGTTATCATTGCTAGTTTTGAATTATATACATAGGCACAAATTGTGTTAAAGTTAACGGATTCTGAATTTCTTGTTTGCTGTTGATATGGTTCTTGACATTTATGTTTTATTTTAAATTCGATTTTTGTGAGTAACCTGATTGCACTAAGCAAGGGAATTTTGTTAAAAATGTTGTTTAGTTGTTTAATGTAGTGTAATCTATGTGTTGTTTGTGTGTAGTATGCCAGGAAAGAACTTCAGACTTTGTCATAATTGTAGAGAGAAGGGCCACTTGTTTGCGGATTGCCCGAACAAAAGGCGATGCCCCTTGTGTAAAAGTGGATTTGTGAAGTGCTTCGAGGTCGAGAGGGAGACAAAGAACGAGGGAAAAATGTTCAACTGCTGCAATGCTAAATGTAAATATTGGGCATGGGTCGATGAGGAAGAATCAAGCTATGGATCAAGTGATGTTACCGTTAACTCGAATAATCATGCAGCACTTGAAGAAGTTCAGCAGTTCTCTCGCATGTTCCAGTCTCTTTGTCACGTGGTCTAGGAGGAACGAAACATTGAGATTTCTTTGAACATGACAATAAGGAAGGCCAACGAAAGTACGGAAGTGGATATAAAAGGGAAGGGGCCAGCATGATTAGTGGTTAACTGAATAAGTGATTAGTGTAGTTGATGTGTTATGTTATGTGCAGTTGATATGTAATATGTGTCGTTGGTGAACTGAAGAAGTCATTGTAGTATATTCGCTTTTGATGTTCGAATCGTTATGTTAACGATGTTGGTGTTGATAGTAGTGGTTTACAATTTGTGTTAACGACTCCCAGTCTCTTCTTATGACCCACATACAATCATAGCATTACATCCACTGCCACAATCTAAAAGAGATTCCATCTCCCAGTCGTAATCACCCATACATAATATTTCCCATCGGACGAGATTGCATTTAAAGGATAATATCATCAATATAATAACTGATAACACTTCTTCTTAGAATTGAACTTTAAGCTTGCAAATCATACAGAAAATCATGAAGGGACAAGTTAGAGAAATTGACCCTATTACACATCTAAATGTAAAACTTGCTAAGCAACTACATACAATTTCACATTTCTCTTTTTGAAAAGTGACCTACTGGCTTTTTTCTTCACTCGATTGTCAAGTATAACATCCTCCAATACCCTATACCTCATCCTTGAAAAGCCCTCTGACGAAGATATGAGATCGCAGTAGACCTTCTCAATGAACTTCCCTGAATTTTGAAATGGTGTATACGAGTTGAAATTGCTTCTCTAGCTTGTATTTTGTTGCATATGGAACTATTTGTGAGTAAGATTTGAAACTATATAGAACTCCTTCTTTACCTTATTCCTCAAAGCTCGTTCGTATTATTCGACAAATTGCTTCAGCGACGTCTTAGAGTGCACATAACCGTCGAAAAATGCATTCATGCTCTCACTACGATGAGTTGTTGACATTTCATCCCTGAACATACATTTCAAATAGCAAGGTACCCAATGGCCCCTGTTCCAGTACAATCTCGACAACTAGTTACTCTCATGCAAGTTATACTTCTCTATCATCGCACTCCAACCCTCTTCAAATTCGTCAATAGTTTCAGTATCATACACCAGTACGTGTATGGCAGAAAAGATTTTACCCTTATCAACGTGGTGTCCAAACTTCCCTGACAACTTCTTCAATATGTCCCACAAACACCATCTATGTATTGTGTTTAGGAACACAATCTGAATTGCATTCTGCATGACCCTGTCTTGATCGGTAAAAATACTAAGGGGTGCTTGTCCATGCATGCACTAAAGCCAAGTCTTGAAAAGCCACACAAATATTTCTGTATTTTCGTTCGACAACAAATTACAACCAAGGAGTGTTAATTGCCCATGATGATTAATTCCAACAAAAGGCGCAAATGACATCTCATACTTATTAGTTAGGTACGTGATATCTAATGTTACAACATCGCCAAACTCCTTATATGCTTGCCTACTCCTATTATATGCCCAGAAAATATTCATTAACCACAACTCTTCATCTAAATCCATACTAAAGAAAAAACCTGAGCATCTTGCTTGCATGTTCGAA